TTTCTTTCTTTCTTTCTTTCTTTCTTTCTTTCTTTCTTTCTTTCTTTCTTTCTTTCGTTTCTTTCTTTCTTTCTTCCTCCTTTCTTCCTTTCGTTCTTTTTCTTTCTTTCTTCTTTCTTTCTAGACAGAGTCTTGCTCTGTTCCCCAGGCTAGAGTGCAGTGGTGCAATCTTGGCTCACTGCAACCTCCGCCTCCTGGGTTCCAGCGATTCTCCTGCCTCAGCCTCCTGCCTAGCTGGGATTACAGGCACTTACCACCATGCCCGGCTGATTTTTGTATTTTTGGTAGAGACGGGGTTTCACCATCTTGACCAGGTTGTTCTCGAACTCCTCACCTTGTGATCCACCCGCCTTGAACTCCCAAAGTGCTGAGATTACAGGCATGAGCTACTGCACCCTGCCATGGTGTTTTCTTAAATGCAACAAAGTGTAGCACACTAATTGGGTTACTTATAAGAAAACTCTAGGATTTGTAGTGCATCACATTGAGGGAGATCCTATACGAGACAGAAGCTTTGAAGTAGAAGAATAACATGTTTGCCTTCCAGTCCAGTCAATGTGTCTCTGGGTCTGCAGGTATGAATGTATTTAGACACAAGGTCAAAGTCTGGTGTGAGGTTGTGGGGTATGTCAGGCCCCAAAGATGGGTCTTCCAGACTCATCTACAAAGGGCCGACTGGTTTCCACCTCATGGAAATTGGTGACTTAAGAGTTTGACTTTGGTGACTTAATCCTGAAAAGCATGCAAACAACACTAGTACTGATGATTACTGTGATCACAGCTTTGTTTTTTCATTTGTGGTTGGAAAGGATTAAATTAGATAATATATATGAAAACATCTAGGAAAATTCTGGCATACAGCAGATGTTAATGAGTACTTGTTTATCTAATTGTAATACTAAAATCACTTCTCTTCTGGCTCTCTTTCCATTCCACTGCAAATCTTTGCTGGCAAAGTCAGACATAAATGAGCAGGTTAAGGTCCAGTCTGCCTTATAGAGTATGAGAAATGGACTAAATAACAGAAATACTACCAAAGTCCTGAGTGTGAGCTGTATTCCATTAATGATTTCTGTTTATATTGCTGCACACAGACTCGCATGCTCTCATTCAGTATCATTAATCACCAAGTCAGAACACTCTTGGCCTCCATGTTCCTGCCTATGATCCAGTGTTGCCTTTCATTCACAATTCACTTATCATTTTTTTTCTTTGTTTTTGAGACCGGGTCTCCCTGTGTCTGCCAAACTTGCTATCTGAATATTGGAATTCCCATAGCAAGTCTGAGTTTTCAGAGATACAATGTTGCCAAATCCATGTGTTCTTGAGTTTCAGATTGTGGATGTGGGAGTTCAAATAGTGAGGGATTCATCTGAAAACTTATTTGAATCCAGCTGGTTGACAACAACACAACAGTGGGGTTTGGAGAGGGAGAGTGAGGGTAGGATGGTGCACCTGTACACTTACTGTTGACTATGTGCCTGCCACAGGGCCACTAACAGCCCAGGCCACAGTACTGTCAGAATTTAAATACAAGAACAATTTTGGTGATTGTTTTGTGTGATTGCTGCCTACCTCTTGTATCATAAGGACAGAGATCTTGTCAGGATTGCTCTCACCACATCCTCAAAGCCCAGTGCTGTGCCTGGAGCAGAGGAGCTGCTCCATATATACATGCTGAATAAACGAATGAATGGACAATTGTAACCCTTAGATGCACAGTACCCTAAGTAAGTAGGTTTCTCTCTCTGCCTCTTTGTTTTAAGAAAATAGAACACAGCAGCCAGATGACAGCTAGCTCTGACCACCTCCGCATCCCAAGAAAGCCTCCCAACTGGCAATGCTTCACACAAAAGGAAGCTGAGCCAGTCCACAGCAAAGGATTTTCTATGATGCTGCAAACAGACAAAGCCCTCCACTGTCAGAGAACACGGCTGGCTTCCTCTTTTGTTAAACTGGTGAGTTTCTTAACTGCTACTGGGTTGGCAAGTCAAATTTACTCCATTTGTACATGGTATTATATATTTCAACTGGTTTTATGTGAGTTGCTCCAGCCTTGCACATTCAACCACAAAACCACTGAAGACTGAGACTATGCCTGCTTTTTAACGTCTGCCCCTAGCCATCCATCGCAAGCACCCAGGAAACAGAGCTGCAACATTTCTTACCTCTGCGGGCCTGACAGATAGGACGCTTCACCAATGAAAAGAGGCTGGGAAGGCAGGGAGGAGTGGGCCATGTAGTTCACAGCCCAGACTCCCCTCACTGCCCACCCTCCCATGGTTCTGCTGTGGTGAGTCCCCCCGGCCTCACAGGTAGGCACCACGAGCATGGCCACTTGGCGAAGGTCTGCTGGCTGCTCTGCTGCTGCCCGCCCCCATCACCATAGCTCTCACAATTAATTCAGTGTGTTGCTAAGTTACACTCCTTGACACAGAACCCCCAGGTACTCATTTTTAGGATGTTTTTGGCCCCCTGACAACCTCTTCCTGCTTTGGAAGCCAAAAAATGGCATTTAAAAAATCAAAGAGAGACAGGAAGATCACCTGAGATCAGGAGTTTGAGATCAGTCTCGCCAGCATGGTGAAACCCCGTCTCTACTAAAAATACAAAAAAAGAGATTCCACTGACTGAAGAGAAGGTGGAGTCTCTTAATGGCAGAGATGCCCACACTCCTGTGGGTCTGTCCCCTGCAGATGCACCTCACTTTCTGGCCTAAGCATGACTGAAGCTTTTTCTCTACTGTCCCTATACTTTTCTAATGTGTCAAAAACTCTGAAGTTGTGCACATTTGTCAACTTCCTTTGTCACATTCTCAAATAAGCATGGAAGAGTGTCTTGGAAAATACATCCTGAAAAAAGATTTCATGTTGTACATTCACTGAAAGAAACTCACTAGCATTTTTTTTCATTTAAAATGCCCCAGCCCTGGCGTAATGGTAAGAATAAGCTAAGTGCCCACATGAGAAGTGAGGACCGATCTAAAATGGATACCCTATCATCAAAATTGAAAGAGCTAGAGGAGCAAGATTGAACAAATTCAAAAGCTAGCAGAAGACAAGAAATAACTAAAATCAGAGCAGAACTGAAGGAGATAGAGACACAAAATCTCTTCAAAAAATCAATAAATCCAGGAGCTGGTTTTTTGAAAAGATCAACAAAATAGACAGACTGCTAGCCAGATTGATATAAAAGAAAAGAGAGAAGAATCGACTAGATGCAATAAAAAATGACAAAGGGGACATCACCACCAATTCCACAGAAATACAAACTTCCATCAGAGATTACTACAAACAACTCTATGCACATAAACCAGTAAATCTAGAAGAAATGGATAAATTCCTGGACACATACACCCTCCCAAGCCTAACCCAGGAAGAAGTTGAATTCCTGAATGGATCAATAACAAGGTTGGAAGTTGAGGCAGCAATTAATAGCCTACCTGCCAAAAAAAGTCCAGGACCAGATGGGTTCACAGCCAAATTCTACCAGACATACAAAGAGGAGCTGGTACCATTCCTTCTGAAATTATTCCAAACAATTCAAAAAGAGGGAGTACTACCTAACTCATTTTATGAAACCAACATCATCCTGATACCAAAACCTGGCAGAGACACAACTAAAAAAGAAAACTTGAGGCCAAATATCCATGATGAACATAGATGCAAAAATCTTCAATAAAACACTGGCAAACCGAATGCAACAGCACATCAAAAAGCTTATCCATCATGATCAAGTAGGCTTCATCCGGGGATGCAGGGCTGGTTCAACATATACAAGTGTATAAATGTAATCCACCACATAAACAGAACCAAAGACAAAAATCACATGATCATCTCAACAGATGCAGAGAAGGCTTTCGACAAAATTCAACAGCGCTTTATGCAAAAAACTCTCAATAAACTAGGTATCAATGGAACATATCTCAAAATAATAAAAACTGTTTATGACAAACCCACAGCCAGTATCATACTGAATGGGCAAAAACTGGAAGCATTCCCTTTGAAAACTGGCACTAGACAAGGGTGCTCTCTTTCACCATTCCTATTTAACATAGTATTGGAAGTTCTAACCAGAGCAATCAGGCAAGAAAAAGAAATAAAGGGCATACAATTAGAAAAAGAGGAAATCAAATTGTTTCTATTTGCAGATGACATGATTGTTTATTTAGAAGACCCCATGGTCTCCGCCCAAAATCTCCTTAAGATGATAAGCAACTTCAGCAGTCTCAGGATACTAAAGTCACAGTCACCATCACTCTATAATTTAGGATTTACTTGATTTTTTGTACAGACCATATTTTTAAAGAAATGTTTATGCAATAATTTGAATATGTTTTAAACCATAAATGAAATTTTTATAAGGAATACTTTTATATCTAAATTTAAAGAGAATTTTTTTTCAAAAACCAACTAAAGTTTTAAGTTGACGGTAAAGATTTCTATGAAAGCAAAATTTTGTCAAAAGCTAAATTTATGATTATTTTACTCAAGTGATTGTGAAGGATCCATCCATTCCACAGAAAGCTGAGGGCAGGGGCTGCCACTGCTATGCCACATTCTTTCTCACTTCACCCAAGAAGGCCCAGAGGTCTGCTCTGAAAGGTCAGAAGATTCATGAACTTCATCTGGTGACAGCAGGGCTTGGAGGGTGCCCTGATTTCTTTGGTTTAGCTTAAGAAAGTCAGTGGTAACTTTCCATTGTGCAGCCTCAGTGTCTTCTTCTGCCCAATTGCCTGGGGCAGGGTGTGGAATATAGAAGTGGGAGGATGCAGTCCTGGTAAACCAGGAGAAATACGGACTTCAAGAACACTTCATCTCTCTGGAAAGACACCACCAACAGAAATAACATCGTTATTTTAAAAGTGTTAAATTCAATGAAGCCTGTTAACTAAAGTCACCTAGGAGGTGGGATGGAGGGTGCCATTAGTGTCTGGCAGGTATTGGCTCTGAGCCAGCTGCTCAGGCAGGACTCAGCACTTCTGAAGAGGAAGTGAATGAGTCCCGTGAGTAGAGCAGAGCGGTTCTCCCTGCGAGCCTCCACATGACTCCATGGAGGGGGCCTCATACATTCTGTCAAGGGTGTGACAGTCTAATTCTGTTGACACTGGTGTGGTTCCAGGTAAACAGAACTAAAACAATGCCAAGTTGGCTGTATCTACTTAATTGCAGTCTATCAGAGGTAATGGTCATGTTAAAGAAGCTAGCAGCTGCTCTCATGGGATCCAGAGAAGATGCTGGCTTATTTACAGCAATGCCTGGGATGGAAGTGGGGGATCCTCTGATGATAAGGATATGAGACCCTCCCCAGATATCAAGAATGGTGCAATATCAACAGTATCCGCATCAAGCCCTGATGCCTGCAGGCTGTGGTGGGGGCAGAACTGTCCACAGGCAGCAGAATCTACACAGAGACATTGCTCAACCAACCACACATGTCCACACGTGGGTAGTGCCTAGAACCTGAGGTAGCACCTTGCCCGCTGCTAGGCTAGAATAGCACTAAACCTGCCAGTTTTGGCAAAGGTTACATGTATGTAGATGGCACTGATTAAATGGTGGCTCAAATAAGGATATGATCTATAAACTGTTATCCCAATTTTTAGGGGTTTCAGTTCATTTGTACGTTTAGTGCATTTGTTCGCCCATTTTCCTTGTAGATAATGCATACTTTAAGTCTGGATTGCCAAAGTATGTGGACTGTAGGCCAAAAGTGGACTGCCACCTCTTTGTGTAAATAAAGTCTTATAGGAAAGCAGTCACACCGGTCATTTACATATTTTCTGTGGCTACTTTTGCATTTCAACAGCAGAGTTGAGTAAGGTGACAGAGACCATAAGGACTGCAAAGCCAAAATGATTTTCCATCTGTCCCTTCACAAAAAAATTTGCCAAATCCTGGATGAGAGCAATCAAACCACTATTCACTGATTAAAGCAAGTTCTGATTGCTTATTACCATGATTCTGTAGCAATGTAAGCAGGAGCCATGCATTGTTTTCAAGGTATGATACAACTCAGGCCAATCTTTTTTTCCTTCTCGTTACCTGTTACAGGCTTTGAGAACTAGATACATTTTCTAAAATAAAAGAAATTAGATTTCTTTTTCTTTTATTTTAAAATTAAATAAAAAATTCCTCAAGAAATTTACATTCTATTACACATAAAACCTCAAGAATTTACTTGTCAATACAGACCTTTTTTTAAAAATTGTACTTTAAGTTCTGGGGTACATGTGCATAACATGCAGGTTTGTTACATAGGTACACACGTGCCATGGTTGTTGGCTGCATCCATCACCCTGTCACTGACATTAGGTATTTCTCCTAATGCTATCCCTCACCTAGTCCTCCCACCCCCTGATAGTCCCCAATGTGTGATGTTCCCCTCCCTGTGTCCATGTGTTCTCATTGTTCAGCTCTCACTTATCAGTGAGAACATGCAGTGTTTGGTTTTCTGTTCTTGTGTTAGTTTGCTGATAATGGTTTCCAGCTTCATTCTTGTTCCTGCAAAAGACATGAACTCATCCCTTTTAATGGCTGCATAAGTATTCCATGGTGTATATGTGCCACATTTTCTTTATCTAGTCTATCATTGATGGGCGTTTGGGTTGGTTCCAAGTCTTTGCTATTGTGAACAGTGCAGCAATAAATATATGTGTTCATGTGTCTTTATGATAGAATGATTTGTAATTCTTTGGGTATATATCCAGTAATGGGATTGCTGGGTCAAATGTATTTCTAGTTCTAGATCCTTGTCTTCCACAATGGTTGAATTAATTTATACTTCCACCAACAGTGTAAAAGCATTCCTATTTCTCCACATTCTCTCCAGCATCTGTTGTCTCCTGACCATGTGGTTTTAATTTGTATTTCTCTAATGGTCAGTGATGATGAACTTTTTTCATATGTTTGTTGGCTGCATAAATGTCTCCTTTTGAGAAGTGTCTGTTCATATCCTTTGCTCACTTTTTGATGGGCTTGTTTGTTTTTTTCTTGTAAGTTTGTTTTAGTTCTTTGTAGATTCTGGATATTAGCCCTCTGTCAGATGGGTAGACTGCAAAAATGTTCTCCCATTCTGTAGGTTGCCTGTTCACTCTGATGATAATTTCTTTTACTGTGCAGAAGAACTTTAGTTTAATTAGACCCCATTTGTCTATTTTGGCTTTTGTTGCCATTGCTTTTAGTGTTTTAGTCATGAAGTCCTTGCCTATACCTATGTCCTGAGTGGTATTGCCTAGGTTTTCTTCTAGGGTTTTTATGGTTTTAGGTCTTACGTTTAAATCTTTAATCCATCTGGAGTTACTTTTTGTATAAGGTGTAAAGAAAGAATCCAGTTTCAGCTTGCTGCATATGGCTAGCCAGTTTTACCAACATCGTTTATTAAATAGGGAACCCTTTCCCTATTGCTTGTTTTTGAAAGATCAGATGGGTTTTGGTGTGTGGCGTTATTTCTGAGGCCTCTGTTCTGCTTCATTGGTTTATATATCTGTTTTGGTACCACTACTATGCAATATAAACAAATTTTTTAACCTTTTCTTTTAACTGTTACATTAGAAAGCTTTATCTTTCAACTGGCATACATTGCAAATATAACAAAATCCAAGTTCAAATAATATTCCAAGATCTTGAGATGTGGAACTGGACCTGATAAAACAATCATCATCAAGCAAGCATGGCAAGATGTAAATAACCTGAAATGATAAAGAAATTAAAGTTATTGATAAAAATAAGGGGGTTTGATATTGTTTGAATGTATGTTGCTACCAAATCTCATGTTGAATTGTAATCCTCAGTGTTGGAAATGAGTCCTGGTGGGAGGTGTCTGGATCACAGAGGTGGATTCCTCATCACTTGGTGCTGTCCTTACCATAGTGAGTTCATTCTTGGAAGAAATAGCTTTTTACAAGTATGTGGCACTTGTGTTATTTCTGAGGCCTCTGTTCTGTTCCATTGGTTTATATATCTATTTTGGTACCAGTACCATGCAACACAAACATGGTCTTGCTCCTGTTCTGCCATATGAGATGCCTGCTCCCCCTTTACCTTCTGCCTTAACTGGAAGCTTCCTGAGGCCTCCCTAGGCCTCAGGGCTGAGGAGATGCCTGTGCCAAGCTTCCTGTATACCCTGCAGAACCATGAGTCCATAAAACCTCTTTTTGTCACTGAGCCTAGAGTATTGCTTTTTTTTTTTTTTAAAATGTGTATATATTTTTATTATACTTTAAGTTCTAGGGTACATGTACAGATCTTGCAAGGTTGTTACATAGGTATACACATGCCATGGTGGTTTGCTGCCTCCATCCCTCTGTCACCTATATTAGGTATTTCTCCCAATGTTATCCCTCACAAATCTCCCTACCCCACACTATCCCCTCCCTAGCCCCCCACCCCACAACGGACCCCAGTGTGTGATGTTCCCCTCCCTGTGTCCATGTGTTCTCATTGCTCAACACCCATCTATGAGTGAGAACATGTGGTGCTTGGTTTTCTGTTCTTGTATCAGTTTGCTGAGAATGATGGTTTCCAGATTCATCCAAGTCCCTGCAAAGGACATGAATTCATCCTTTTTTATGGCTGCATAGTATTCCATGGTGTATATGTGCCACATTTTCTTTATACAGTCCATCATTGATGGGCATTTGGGTTGGTTCCAGGTCTTTGCTATTGTAAACAGTACCACAGTGAACATACATGTGCATATGTCTTAATAATAGAATGATTTATAATCCTTTGGGTATATACCCAGTAATGGGAATCCTGGGTCTAATGAAATTTCTATTTCTAGATCCTTGAGGAATCACCACACTGCCTTCCACAATGGTTGGACTAATTACACCCCCACTGACAGTGTAAAAGCATTCCTATTTTTCCTCATCCTCTCCAGCATCCATTGTCTCCAGATTTTTTAATGATCTCCATTCTAACTGGCATGAGATGGTATCTCAATGTGGTTTTAATTTGCATTTCTCTAATGACCAGTGATGGGGAGCATTTTTTCATATGCTTGTTGGCTGCATAAATGTCTTCTTTTGAAAAGTGTGTTCATCTCTTTTGACCACTTTTTGATGGGGTTTGTTTTTTTTTCTTGTAAATCTGCTTTAGTTCTTTGTAGATTCTGGGTGCTAGCCCTTTCTCAGATTGGTAGATTACAAAATTTTTTCCCATTCTGTTGGTTGCTGGTTCACTCTAGTGATTGTTTCTTTTGCTGTGCAGAAGTTCTTTAGTTTAATTAGATCTATTTGTCTATTTTGGCTTTTGTTGTCATTGCTTTTGGTGTTTTAGTCATGAAGTCCTTGCCTATGTCTGTGTCCTGAATGGTATTGCCTAGGTTTTCTTCTATGATTTTTGTGGTGTTAGGTCTTATGTTTAAATCTTTAATCCATCTGGAGTTAATTTTTGTATAAGGTATATGGAAGGGGTCCAGTTTCACTTTTCTGCATATGGCTAGCCAGTTTTCCCAATACCATTTATTAAACAGGGAATCCTTTCCCCATTGGTTGTTTTTGTCAAGTTTGTCAAAGATCAGATGGTTGTAGATGTGTGGCATTAATGCCGAGGGCTCCGTTCTGTTCCGTTGGTCTATATCTGTTTTGGTACCAGTATCACACTGTTTTGATTACTATAGTCTTGTAGTATGGTTTGAAGTCAGGTAGCATGATGCCTCCAGCTTTGTTCTTTTTGCTTTGGATTATCTTGGCTATGTGGGCTCTTTTCTGATTCCATATGAAGTTTAAGGTGTTTTTTTTTTTTTCCAGTTCTGTGAAGAAGGTCAATAGTAGCTTGATGGGGATAGTGTGGAATCTATAAATTACTTTGGACAGTATGGCTATTTTCACTATACTGATTCTTCCTAACCATGAGCATGAAATGTTTTTCCATCCGTTTGTGTACTCTCTTATTTCCTTGAGCAGTGGTTTGTAGTTCTCCTTGAATAGGTCCTTCACATCCTTTGTTTGCTGTATTCCTAGATATTTTATTCTCTTTATAGCAATTGTGAATGGGAGTTCACTCATGATTTTGCTCTCTGTTTGTCTGTTATTAGTGTATAGGAATGTTTATGATTTTTGCACATTGATTTTGTATCCTGAGACTTTGCTGAAGTTGCTTATCATCTTGAGATTTTGGGCTGCGATAATGGGTTATTTCTTTATAGTAATCCAAAAATGGCGTAACACAGGCTTTTAGCCTTATTTGTTAGTGAATAGTTTATGACTTGGCATAATAATAAAAGTACTGTAAGAAAAACAAGGAGTATTTTCCGGGTCGCTGGGCTGTTTTTAACAAAACCCCACTTCCTCTAACGAGGAACACATATTTATTTAAACTTTTCCGGAGATAATGTATATTTACAACCTGGACTCTTGGAGTATAAACTCCTCGTGATTATTACCCAGTGATTACTGTAAGACTGTATTTATTTATCTTAAGGTCTTCGTTTTTCAAGAAATGTTTTCTATGTCTAAGAGCCAAGAATCCTTTGCTATCATCAAAATTGAAATTTGATACTATCTTTTCTTTTATCTTTACAACTTGGAAAATCCTGATTTTGAAGTTTAGAATCAGGAGTAACTTCTTCTTCTTGATCATTTTACATCTTTCTTGACTTATTCATAGACTCTAAGAGCTAAAAAGGATTTAGTGCAGCCATCTCACTATACATTTCAGAAAACTGCAGCCAGAGATGGTGAATGACTGGTGTAGAATCACATTGCTTTCTGTGCAAAACCAGATGTAAAGAATGAAGTAATCGAAGATTCAAAAATATTTAGAGAGATTTTGTTCGTCAAACTGGGTTAAGAGCCGAGTGCAGTGGCTTGTAACTGTAACTACTTGGGAGGCTAATGCAGGGGGATTGCTTGAGCTCAAGTGCTTGAGACCAGCTTGGGCAACATAGTGAAACTCTGCCTCAATTTTTTTAAAAAAAGAATGTACAATAACTTCTCAACCAGTTTATGCTTCAATGCAGCCATTCCGTTCCAGACATAAAGCCACAAAGCAGTGATAGTTAAAAAGGCAGAGCAGCACTCAAAAATAAGATGAATAAGTCAACAGACCACAGATAGAAGAATAAAGAGGATGAGACTAAAACCAGAGGTTTTCTGGGCTCTGTATGCAGAAGGAGCATGTGGTGGCAAGGAACTGGATTTGTGTGTTACAGAGGCTGAAGGTACTCACCTGAAGATAGAGGGATATAGATTGTCTTACTGCTTGAAGCCAGTTGGGGGGTGGGGGAAACCCCTCCTCATAGGAAGTAGTGAGCCTAAGCAAGTAGGAAGACAAAGACAGAGTCATGACACCAGGATCAGAGCCATGTCAACAAGTGGGGCTTTCAATTAATCAGTGACATAGCTGACATCATCTTAGATCAATAACTTTAAACTCTACTACAAGATCTGTCTGACCTGGCATTGCGGGAGGAGGGTGGGGTACTGGCAATAGCAACCACAGCACTACTACATAGAGAGAAAAGGCACCAAAAGAAAGAAGTGGAGTTGAAAAGATATTTGAGGAAATAATGGCTGAAAAGAAATCCCCAGATTTGCAAAAGACATAAACCTACAGATTGAAGACACTGAGCAAATCCCAAAGCAATTTATGCTTGGGTAAACCCAAGCAATTCATGCCAGATACACCATAAACTTCTGAAAATGAAACACAAAGAAAATACTTTGAAAGCAGCGAGAAAGAAACAACGTTTAGATTAACCAATAGGGGAAAAACAATTTGAATGACAGTGAATTTCTCCTTAGAAACCCTGAAAGACAGAAGGAAGTAGCACAATATTTTTCAAATGTTGAACAAAAAGAACTGTCAACCCAGAATTTTAAATCTAGTGAAAATATCATTCTGGAATGAAGAGGAAACAGAAACAACCTCAGATAAAGCCTAAGATAATCTGGCAGCAGCAGACCTTCCCTAAAAAGAATG